ACAACAAAAACCAAAACATATGCATATTAGCTGATTATTTTCCATAAACGGGTATTTTTATTTGGAATATTTGTATTCAATTGGCCCCAACTTTCCTGTCACCTTGTTACCTACGTTAGATCTCTTTCCAATTGTTCACATATCAATGTTGGGTACAAACTGTACTGTTCCTCATTTTCATCATAATTATTAAGTTGGTGTTTTTTAAATTTGATCTTCGATCTACTAGTTTGGGCTTGATTTTCCCATAACTTGTGCACAGACCTACTTAAAGTTCCCTCTTCTATTCTGCGACTGTTAAGAAAATGTTTGTATAATTTGCGTGTAATGGACACAATGTTATGAATTTGATTTAAAAACAGGGAATTACTGTACTTTAACTTTTAAATAATTACGAAAAAGCTTCCTCCAGCAACTTTATTTGGTTCGCCGTAGAATCTACCCGTACCACAGCATGAACAGCTTCATGAGCTCTATAAATATATGAAGAGTTCGATAAAATTGTATGTATTTAAATAATATTAGGAATTAAAGTATAGAATGAATAAATAATTATATGAGAATAAATGGGGACCGTACAAATATGTGCTTCAATATTATTTTTCATATTGAACTCATAAAATTGTATTTGGAATGTTTTTCCAGGAATCTACCCCTAATCGAATTTATTTCAAATTCGGATATGTATACGGAACATTTTTTACCTTGAGTAGCAGGCGAGCTCCTACATCGCCAGCCAAACGGACCTTTGCATATTCAGTTTGCCGAAATCTAAAACATTACCGTATCAAGTGATGTGGTGAATTTTGTTATCTTGTTTTTCATTGTTTGCCATAAGTTTAGATTGGCAACGTATTTGTGTTCAAAAGGGCATCTTATTAGGAAAAATACTACCGTGTTTCAGAAAAATAATCAGTTAAGCTCATGAAGAAAAAACTCATATAAACTCTAAATACTAAGCCACAAATTTTATTTATAAATGTTAGTTTTCCTTTACGACCATTACTCCAAATTAATTTTAAAACTTTATTCCATCATTACTTGAAGTTACTTAAAAAGTAGTAGGTAACCGTAAACTGGACTGAGAAAACATGAAATTTTATATTATCAACAAAATGCCTGCTACAAATGTAAATATTGAAAAATTAAGTGCCCATTATAAAATACATAATTTTGAAACCTTAGGCAGCTTTATTGACAACACAACACATCTTAATGTTAATGACAGATTTGCAGATTTAATGAGAATTGAAATTTATCCAATCCACCTAGTCGTCCTTAATTTGCCGTAAAAATGCGTAATGTTGTCATTAAATTCTGAGTTAACGTTTTATAAATACGGTTTAACTTTCAATTTATTAAAATGATGATATCTATTTTATTACGAACTTTATGTCAAAATCAACACATTTCGAGAGCTGTTTATTTACAGATTAGAACATGAAAAATATCAGATATAATAAAATGTAATCATTCTGGAATATCTAAACACCGGTTGTGCTGTTGATAGACGATAAAATAAATACGTGTAAATCCAGGATTATCATCTCCCAATTTACCAAAGTTACACTTCTTATAAAAGATTATCATTTCAAATGTTGCCACTTGGTTTGGCAAGTCACCTGGTTAAAATGAGCCGCAAGGACGGCTCAGTATAGTTCTCTAATTGTATTCATTTCTCTACGTGCAAATCACTTGTGCTTACTAAACTTGCGGCTTTCGTAGCTATCTGCTCACAGCTACTAATACCCAACAAGTCATCATTTGTGACCTACAGAATGTCAGTCAGTCAATATATCAATTTATATTTCATGAAGCCTGAAAATATCCACTTTGCTACTCGCGGATGTATAATACTCTCCATAAGCTTTAGCATAAAATATCAGAACCTTCTCCGCCGTGAAGTTGGTGTAAAAGTAGGAAAAACGTGTTCTGAATGAAGCAAAATATTGGAATGCTCAATAATACAGAATATTTAAAATTTGAATAAATACACGAAAAAACAAACACCGAAATTAAAAGAGGACAAATTGTGTTGATATTTGAAAAACGTAAAAATTATTCAAATTTTGAGAAATTGCGACTGTTTAGGGCTTGCAGACTGAATGCACACATATTTGTATGGTAAATAGGCAAATCGCATTACTTTTATTTTAAATTTCTAACTCAAAATGAATTATACTTCAAAAGTAAAATATTTTCACACACTGGTTCAATTTGGTTCAACGTGAACGTGAAACAATTACATCAAATATAGCGGGTTTCTGACTCAGGTGCATTCAACTCTTAAGAGTTCTAACAAACCTCAAATGTATAAGAAAATTAGTTCTTATCAATATTGCGCTTAAACTAATAATAGTTCTCCAAACAAAACTACCTCTAACTGAAAGAAACCCATAAAAACCGCAGCAGGCTATTTCCAAAATTACACGCAACTGGTCCAATTAGACAGTGATTTGTTTGATAAGCGCAACAGATTTATTTACTGGATAATCATGGAATGGTAAATCTGCAGTAAACATTTGAAATATTGTTAAAAATACTAAAACTACTAGAAAATTTGGGTTACTGAATGGGAATGTGAGTATCTTAAATTCTATAGAAATGACCGTTGCCTTTTAAATAATTTTCGTATTCCCGCAATTGGCTGAAATGAATTTATAATATTGAGAGAACTAGCTACTAAATAAATTCATATATAAAATTCAGCGCCGCCTCGAACAACATATTAAAAGCTATCAGCGCTAAAAAATGTATAATGTAACTGCAATCTACGGCTGTTTTTAGTTTATTTACAAAGTAAAAGATTCATCTCACTAATTTTATGAAGCGCGTAAATTTATTCAATAGAAATAGTCGAAATCGTATTCTCAAATGAGAAAAATTTTGTTATAATTGGGTTATTATTAGCGACCTAGTATTTCAGCAGCGTATTAATTTATTCTAAATAGTTTGGAAGTAATTGGAGTTGGGATTATTGGCAAGCTGCTATAATATTTTTGACCATTTCATATAATTCAACCTTTCGTCAAAAACATTTATTTGGGTGAGTTCATTTGCAAATTGCGGTTTAAATTGGCAAATATTCTACTGAATGAGCATTGGGAAGGTTAGTACTGAATGTTTGCCATCTTGAAAATGCTCAATTCATTTGCAGTTAATCTCAGAGATGAATTAAATACATTGCTACAAATCCATCAGTTACAGCACATACAGATATTTAGAAATTATCTACGGCATGAAATTGTTTACTTTTRGTACCTACTTTGCATTATTTGATGTAAAATCAAATTCAGAAACTGTATCGTAAGTTTTCCGACATCTAATTGTTAGTTATGACTTAATTAATATTATTTTGCTTATTATAGTTCTTTCTGTTGCAACATCCTGTACTTTGTTAGATTCTTTTTTAAATCTATTAAAATTGAGTCTATGTTCTTTTACACATCAGAAATTAAATACTATATTCAAAGCCGTAGTATCAGTGCGATTTAATAGTCATCAGACTCTTCTTCCTCTTTCCGTATTTTAATTCCAGGATTATTTATTTTATTTTGCTCAGAAATACCTTAACATTTCTGTTGTTATTTTTGCAGCGATCTGGCGTTCCGCAGCTGTCGTATGGTCTCATATAGTTTTCTTAATTATACTGTTTCAATGTTTTTCGTTGCTATTTCTTGATTTTATACAACTTTACTTTTTACCTCCTTCCTTTCTAAGAATTTTCAAAGTGTCGCTTTCGTCGCTTTCGTTTAATTCTTGTTGTGTCTATTCTTCTATTGCCTCCACAAAATTATTTACTCATTATTCCTTAGCTGGTCTTCTGTCATTTTAAGTTCTATCGCAATTATTTCGCGCTTTACTAATTATGGGATTACTACAGTTCTTTTCAAGTTTTTTATTTATTTTTGTATTTACTTTTACTCACTTGTACATTATCTCTTATTGTCCATATTTTCTAATAATGTTTAGTCTATTGTAGATTTTTGGCCTATACTTTTTCAATCGTAATTATATTAAGTTTTTAAAATAGCAATTGTTGTTTCCAATATATACCTTATACATTTTGTTTTTCTTTCAAACAGATATTATTTTCTTTGCTTCTTTCGCTTCAATTGTTGACTCTACTCAAAATGTTTCCTTCCTCTCAGATGTACAGTCTTTATTCGGTGAATTATGCGGGAAGTTTAAATCGTTTCAAAAACTTTTTCGTTTAAAAAAACGTTGTAATGTTATCATCATGTCTTAACTTAAACGTTCACTCCACATTTCACTAGATATTGAGAATGCAAAATGATTTTGAAAGTTTGAACTATCACATTCTGTATCCAGAACAGGAAGCATTCGAACAAGGTTTAATAAAACTTAAAAAAACACAAACATCTTTGCGCAATTAATCTAAAATTCACATATTGTTTCCATTTTTTCCCGCAGCTCGAAAGGAGATATAAAAATGTAAATTTTTTTTTAAATTGGTAAAGTAAAAAGGAAATAATGAACACGTTAATTTAAATATGTTGCTTCTGAGGTTGAGCAAATCAGCATGTAGCAATTTAAACCAACTTAAGGTATTTAAATTATGAAGACTCCGGATAGATTTGTCTCGGATTTTACTTTTGATTATATTTTACGGGATATTTTTCTAGCGGGATTATGTTTTTCAAACCTTTCGGAGGTAATACAGCCACAAAGTAACTGAATGGAAAAATTGAAGCACTTGTACACCAGCAAATAACTCTAAACTCACAAAAGCTTTGGAATATATAACCAACTGTTTATAATGTAATTTTCTCGGCACGAAATGCATACGTTACTTGTTGCTTTCATTCGTACAATTGCAGTGAAAAATATCTGCACGTTGAAAAATATTCACTGAATTGTTTCGGCGCATTCACAAGTAAAAACGATATTTTAAGAAATTGAAGTGGGAATAATATACCGGCTACTTTAGTGTTTGCAATATTTTTTACAAATCGTTCCGAATTACGCATAAAACTCACCCCGTCAGGATTATGCTTGTATGGATGCCCACTGCCACAAAATTCCACCAGTACATCTTGAAGCTTCTTGTTGGCATCTAAAAAAAAGTCGATTATTAGAGTTTTATCGGATATATCTTAAACATTGGTGACAGAATCGATATTTAATCAACCATTAAAATCAAAAGTTCATGTTCGTTCAATTAAAATTCGGCTTTGAAACGATTGCATCACTTGCTTTGATCAAAATGAATTTAATTAAACACAGAACGTGCTTCATAAGCCCTGGTTGACATAGATTCACAATTACCAACCTTAATTATACAGTAAATTTATGAATATGAACCGTTCCTCTAGTTCAAAACAAACAGTATTGGGGATAAAGAAAAACTGTTATTTAGGAGTAACACTCAACGTAAGTGAATTGAAGTTTAGCTTCAAACGATTTAATTAGAAAATCAATATTGGAACCTCGGATGGATGTGCTTGGAAAACTCTTCTTGTATTGTCCGGATTATTTTATAAAGCGTATGTCAACTAATAAGAAAATAGTCCATGTTGTCCTACAATGGTATAGTACCTACCATAGGCTATCATCTGGTAATCAAACACTAATTAGCTGAAATTATAGTAAATCGTAGAACACATGTTTCACTTCATAGAACAAATGTTTAATGTGCTCATATAAAAATGGTTTGTAAATGTTTCATTTTGCATGTATCACCTTGCTCGGGGTATATTGCTGTAAATGGGCGTTTCCATTCGTGACACATCCAAATGGTAATTAAAACGTGCCAATTTGGGTGTACCTGCATGTGGGGAACAATTCTAAATGATAAGGGTTAATAATTGTTCGTTGGGTGGGCAGCTATAACAATTTGTTTATTAGCAACACCCTCATTTAAAGTAGGGCTGAGTAATTTGGAATATTAATTTGTAAGTACCAGCTATATGTTGAAAATGCAAATTAATTTGAAAGGACAGCAAACGGTGTTGTTATAAATAGGATGTTAGTAAACAGAATTTAAATCAAGTCATAACATATATTGTTTTCAACTGATGGACAAAAATAGTTGACAATTAAATGCTAAATAATAATTTATATTTTCTTTCAATACTTCCACCAAAAGCAACGAGTAAAACTAAATTTGATTCAAAACGTACGAGAGAATTTTTTTTCGGTGGAAATACTGCCTTTAAACAGACAGTAAAGTAAAACTGGTTTTCGAACTTTGGAACCGTAGAAAAAAATGTACTGGCTTCGTTTCGTTTTTTTTAAAGGTTTTGGGAGCATGGCTTTAATGCTGATCCGTCGAGTGCAAGCCTGCTAGCGAAACATTTCTGTGGATACAAACCTGATGTAATTTTTCGGCTATTCCATTTATTTAAACTTAATTTTTTTAATTTCTAATCTCTGATGTAGTGTAATGTGTAATCTCTAATGAGATTGTAGAAAGTCAATGTAAATACCTACTTTGTTTCTGTCATCTGAACAAAATCATTTTATTCGACGCAATCATATTATTCCCCATACACATTTGACTGCCAACGGACCCATAAAAATTTCTTGTATGAAGTCGAGATTAATATACAGAGTAAGCCATGAAATGAATGAGCTCTTCCGAAAAGATTCAGTGTACAACTTAGCTTTTGTCCAGGAAAAGGACTTAAATTGAGAAATTAACAATGTCAGTTTGATATTTAGATTAGAAAACTTTCCTTCATTAGAGTTACAGAAGTTCATCATGTAAAACAATACCGAATATAAAATTTCGCAAAAGTAACTAGTGAAGCTAGAAGGCATATCGATCAAAGGAAAAAAAACTAGAGAATTTCATAACGCAACTGCAAGGCCATCACTCTTAACAATTCAGAAGAACTCGATGCTTCAGTATATATTTTTTTGTATTTGCCTGGGCTCATTTATGTTAAGGAATATTCATGTGCTGGAAATTGAGCTGACTCTTATGGCACCGTCTTGCAAATTGACGGGTTTGCTTCTTTTAATCACCTGTTATCACACTCACTATTTTCCCAATTACAACTTACATAAGCAATGAAAACCAAATGGGTTTTGTTATTCATGAACCTCTGGAAAGTAATAAACGGCAAAGCAACAAAATAGGAATTGATTCATTAGAGGTCTCATAACCGGAACAGTAAAAAACTGACAATGCCTAAAAATACTTAAAGCGATGACAAAATAAAACAAACATTTATTCATAAAAATAATATATTAGTGCATAAACTGTAAAAGCAAGTTTGTCTTGTTTTCAAATCTTTTTTAGATAAGTTTTATACATGTAGTTGAGGTCAATTAATTGTTAAAACAGACATTTTTTCATAGACTCATCCAGAACATTTTGATGTCACAAGAGCGTTTTCTATAAAAAAAGCACAATTATTTCATACACCTCCAAAAAGGGTAGATTATAGTCTCAGCATCTCTATAGTAATTTAACAAATACGAGATTTTTTAAATTTAATTTTACGTCAAGCCCACCAGAAACCTGTTCTTTCTATACTCAACTTTAATAACCACTCAAATCACTCGTTATCGTTTCCCGTCTCAAAATATTGGTAATTGACATATTTGGAATATCCAAAAATGAAAAATCACACAAATTTAACATTGTTATAGCTTTGCACTGTCTATCACTTCAATTTAACAATTAAGCGCAAAATGCAACTTTGACAGAGCAAGCAAAAACTAATTTTAAGTCACTCTGTACACTAATCCAACTGGAAATTAATTTAAAGTCCTTCTGGGATTCCAGAGTCCTTCTTGGAACAGTGTAAGGCATCCAGAGTATATTAAAATATTTTTTTTAAACAAATATATATTTTTTATTCATCTGCTAATCCTGACTAATGTAATTCAGCTTAAAGATTGGCGAAGTTTTTGGTACATAGAAGCAATAGTATGTAACGAAAAACAACTGATTACACGCTAATCCCGAAGCAAACAGTAAAATAAAACCATGCGACAATTGAACGAGTAGCACACACAACAGGGTTCCCTTTATTCACAAATATCCGCGTCATTCGATCAAAGAGGAGCAACAAATGAGAATTGAATGGATGGATAATGTTTCATCGATAAAGTCCATGACAGGAACAAATAGTAATTAAAAAGGGAGTGTAGCGAATAATATTGGCGTGCTTTACATGAGCTGCTGACATTTTTCCCATTAATCCCTCTAATAGACCAAAAATACTTCTGTTCAGCTTTAATGACCAAAGGGCATGCATACTTTCCAGAGCTCTTTAACTTTATTTGACTCGCTTTTGCTACTGTGTGTTAACCAATTAGTGTAATTATGAATCTGAAAAAAGGATACTTAAAATACAGCTGGCTAGAAAAAAACATTATATTTTTCTTTCTGTTTTTTACGTAAGTTTTAGATCAATAATACTTTTGAACAAGATGTATTGGACTTTCTTAAGCTGGTGCAGTTGTAGTAAATTTCCTTAATAGTCCTGTGTCTGATTTATCAACATGGGGTCTAGCTGGATTTTCATTAATATGAATTTACCCACAGCTTGACTTTAGCTTCAATTTCCGGTAACCACTAAAGAAAAACAACAAAAATGATAAACAAAATCCCAACAACTCAACGTTTATACAGTACTAAATTACATTAAAATATTAAAATACAGTTACAAACAGCAATAAATTGCCATTAAGCGGACTGCAAATTGGCAAATCAATCGGGATTAAAAGGAAGTAAACCATTTTAATAATGACAATTTAATTTAATATAAAGCATGATTCGAACGAGATAATGGCATATTGTAGAGCTTATAGTTTGGTCTATTTTAATATTTCCTTTTATTCAAAAAGGGAGTAATTGACATTTAATTTCCAACATTTATGTAGTTGTTTATTCGTATAAAAGCGGCTATCTTTGAAAAATAGAATCTGCTATGAAAGCAATAGTTGGCTGGCAATAGAACACGCAAAGACATGTGAGAGAAGCTTAAACATTGAAACAAATAATCAGTGGATCGAGGAACAGCACAGAGAGAATGGATAAATGTAGCACCATCCTGAAACAATGCAATAGATTAATTTAATAGCTACCTAAATAATTTGTTCGAAATCAACTCGAATTTATTTGACTAAAATTTTATATATTTGCCCCATGTTTATGCTATAAATAATACATTTCAATGATAATTACAATTCTCATTCATGTTCTCATGACAACAACAAATGATAATTAAAAAGGGTCAATTAAGGGAGTGTAATAAAACATGTCGGTGCGGCTTGTTGTGCATGTTGAGATGATGTTTCGGGAAATAATTTGCTTAATTGAGAGTTATGTTGATTATATGTTACGAAACTTATCTAAAACCTCATCATAGAAATTTCGACTGGTTTCCCAAAGTGAGATTTTAGAATAGGGAAAACGTTTCAATGACCATTCCATTTTCAATTAGAAAAGCCCTCTCCTTAAATTGAAAGTTCAGGCTAAACTTGTTAATTCCTAGTTACAATTCATTGCGGAAAATCCAATTGCAAAGGCTCAGCAGGCAATATCAGATTGTATCGAAATCCTAATATCAATACGCAACGAGGTTTAGAACGGTTAGAAAATGTCCCGCCAGTAGGATCTGATATGTAAATATACCGTACCTTAATCTATTTTGCGGGTCTCTTGGGGAGCGAAATGTTGAATTCCACCTGCATTTATCTGAACCCAGGCAAGTAAAGAGTTGCCCAACTTCTACCCTCTGGAAACTTACTAAGTTGCAAAGGAATAAGCAGTCAGAGAAAAACGAATGAATGAGTTATCGAAATTTGGAACTGGGATGCGAATTCCTATTTGAACAAGCAGCGGCAAGTTCATCCGCCACTAACAGAAAGAAGTCCCTGCTAGTCTAGGAACATAATGAAAAATCTGGCGTACAAACTCTCTTAGCTTATAATTCGTCAAATTGCAGGTAACATTTTCTTACAGTTGGAAGGTTAATGTTCGCCGTGTAAACATTTGTTCAGCTTGTTCTTAACTTTACCCTTTATGCTTCCTTAAAATTAATTTGCCCATAACTCCTTCACAATAATTAAGTTTTGGGCGAAACAGCTGAGTTCTGTGTTTTTTATATTAAATCTCGGTCAATTTCTACAAGAAAAAACCATGAAGTGAAGATGATTCATGGACTTTTATGTATAAATAGACACACTAAAACAAACTAAACAACTTTCAGAACATTTCAAGCGAGTTCCTTTCATTTTCTTTCTGATGGATGATTCATTTTTGCAGTTCAATTAGCAATATTTCAGTTCAATTAACGATTCCTATTTCGATGGAGCTAGACATGGTGCCGAGTTTCGATAATAATTATTCTTGTCAAGATATAAATAGTCGGCTGGATTAATGCCTGAAGTTCATTGCTAAACTAAATAAAATCCGTTCAGAGATTAATCGGGCGGGGCCGGCAATTCTGATATAAATAGATAAATATTTGCACATGTTTCCGTATAATTGGTTTATGCGTAAACGGGCGCTATCTTCAGCTGTTTTCTTTCTGACCTAGTTTTTTTCGTTTCGTCAGCAAACAACGCGGTAAAATTTTTCTGTGAAATTTACCAACCGGCCTACAAATAACAAGCGTTTGATAAGATGGTTTCTTCCAGAAATCTTCCAGTTTTATTCATTCGCAAATCTTTACAATCATATCCTGTGATTGCTCCTCAAAAGTGATCGACCCCAAAACTTATAGCAAGTTGAAACACTTAAAACGAGGTAGACAATTTGAGTACGACCATTTCTTGAAAGTGGTGAGTTTAACCGTTTTTAGGCTCATGATAAATAAAAAATCAGGACTAAGTATTTTTCACATCGGCCAAAAAGCAAAAAAGCGCTTTTAGCTTTTACGTAATAAATATTTCGTGTTTATGAATATGTATATTAAAATAACACATGGTTTTTGTGAAAAGTGGTTATTCGATCGGCTCCGGCAGAAATAGGTATATATATAGAAAATATCAATAGGTTTACAGTTAAAAAAAAGTAATAAAATCGTTGATTTGGTGAAAATACATTTTTTGGTATGAAAATACAATTTGGTTGAAACAAACCAACCGCATCGAATGCGCACCTATAAAAATATAAATGCGAAAATTTTATCTCATGTATTTCCAAACGAAAATAAATCGTTTTGTCCTATAAAACTGTTTTCGAGCTTCAAGCGTTATGATTCAAAGTTTCTGATGCCCAAATGACAACAAACAATGTGTAAAAGTCAAATAAACCACTTAAGTTTATAAGTCTGTATTAATTTATGGATGTTCAAAAAGAGCAAAATAATTATGGCGCTTTGCCGCCAAGTAGCCACAAAGTTATGCAGTATTTTAATTGATTATGTTTGCCTCATAATATTGATAATCGACTGACTTGTTGACTCGGGCTCACCTGTTTGAAAGTATGTAATGTGTTTTTATTTACATGCCTCATATATAAAGGGATAAAAACTGGGTATAATTATTATAGACAAAGAGGCATGTAGGTGATTTTGTTGAATGTCTGGTAAACTTTCAGTCAAACCGTAGAGAATTATGACTAGTAAACAAGGCAGTTTCAGAAAAGCTTTTTTGCTCGGACCTGGCAGTCCATTTTATTGCTCTCGAGCTCCCATAAACTACATTGTTTTATCAAGGTGGTAAACGCAATTCAACAGCCAGACGTTTTCACGAATGTTCACCAATTTTTCATCTAAATAGAAGATTTGATTAATACAACTTTGAGCAAATACTGATTGGGGAAAAACTAGGGTTCCTAGATTTTTCCAAAAACCTCATACATTTTCTACTCGGTGAAAGTAGGCGAAAACTGAAAGTAGTTCTGGTAACCGGAACTAAAATATCTGCTCAATTTGTGCGAAACTTTGCGGTTATTTAAGAAAACATTTTATCATATTTATAAACGACTAATTATTCAAAAAATTTGGTTACATAAATTTATGAAAATTATTAATGATTTACGTCAATGAATGGAAAATAGGACGTGGATGTCGTCACTTCCAATAAAAATAAACAATGGCAAGGTTTTAATCCTTATTGTTTTCCAATGCGCAAACAGAATTAAAATGAAATTTATCAGCTCGTTATTTCATTTTGACGAGGTTTTCGATATGGGTCATTCAGTTCGCAATTAAATTAATGTTGATTTTCAGTTAAAATAGTATTCAGAAAACTGGCCGGCTCTGAGCATTGAAAAAGTGCATGCTGCTCTGGCATAAATAGATCTAAGAATAACCATTAAGTTTATTTCGGCTACATACTTCTGCCATATGGAAAGGCGTCCAGCCTCCAGGTGTATGAGGATTTGTATTTGTTTCATGCGATTCTAATAAGCTTAAACGTATGGAAGTATTTTGGTTTTTATAGGACAAAATCGTATGGAATTTCTTAGTTTATCAAGTGTGTTGTGCAAATTAACTGGGAAATGCCTTGGACTATTATGTATTTTTATAGATTCGTTTTGAAGCTAGTTTATTTGGGTTCTATTCAAGTAAATTTTAGACTAAAATGCACACTAAAGGAGTTTTAAATTAGCATTTGCTTGAAAAATCTGTTGTAATTATATAATACTTGAGAGCATTGTAATTTGTAGTAGTTTATTTAATTGCTAAGTAATGATTGTCAATGCTGCGATTAATTAGCAATTTACTGTAAAGGGTGAAATAATAATGAAGGAATGTGAATCATAATCACCTCAGAAAAGGCCAGCAAAAAAATATTAAAATGCGTATAATCTATGCTCACCTGAATATTTCGATTCACCAAATATGAACATTTCAGCTGTTCCAACCAACACTTTTACATGCTTAATTTTTATTTCAAACTATTTATTTTTAATTGTACTAACTCGCATAGTTTGCTTCAGTCAACTTAATAGCTCCATTTCAAGTGAAATTTATTACTCCCTTTGTAAAAACTTTATTGCGTCCTATGTGAAATGATCAGTGGACTACCAAAACTGTTTTTTATTTTAAATTCTGTTTACGTCCTGTTAAACAATACGGGAACCTTGGTATTGTTGGATTTTATTGGAAGTGACTACGTTTACATCCAATTATCCATGCAATGACGTCAATCATTAGCAATAAACTATCTCTCGGTTTACTTCTACCCATATTAGCATTGATCGGGTTCTTGCGCAATATTGCTAACTTTTATTTCAGGCTTGTGAAACTTTGTAGTTGGTTACTTGAAATGGAAATTTCAATATATTTCTTAACAAAACCGTGTACATATGACCTTAACCATCTTAAACCTTTCAACTCTCAAAATTTATTTCTGGCTCATACATTTTCAAAATATGTAGGTTCTAAATTTTGTTGGAAAAAATTCAGTAGGTAGAGGTATAAAAATAACAGTTAAAAAAATATCTCTGATTCAACTATAACTATATCGAATGGTTTTGTACTAAAAAAATAAAATCTATAAAATATTTGCATTAAAGGGTTCCTAAGAACTAATTTTATATTAACAGTGATCAGGTGAAAATAAAGAAAGATTGCGTTCGTTACTAACCAATTAATATTTTAAATAGCTGATATTTTGCAAATCAACAAAATCGAGTAGCACTTCTACGTGAAAATTATATTTGCTTTCATATTGACGTGCACCAGTTGAATACGCTACAGTCTGCGAAAAGGAAATTAATTTTTCGCTTCTCCATAAATCGAGCCCCAATATTTCCATCCGTAACGTTTCAGTTAAAAAATGGAAAAGTTGTGTTGCTGGCCTATTTAAATATGGAAAATCGAGATTACGGTTAATAGTTCAATGTAAGTAAGTCAAAGTATACTTTATGCGATTTGCCGTGTTTTTTATTGTGAATATGCACATGAGAATTACCTATTTTTCAGCCTGTTTCTTACGCATGAAATTCATCAGTTATATGAGCAGGCGCGGGTATTTCCAAAGCAAATTTTCCTTTTCCAATATCTCGACAAAGCAGAATATTGATGTTTTGAAGCTGTGCTATTCTTATTGCTGTTTCGGTGACAAGGGGGTTACTCCACTAGAGAGGAAAATGAAAATTGCCGACTGGAAAGAATTTTTATCAAAATACCCGACAAATTCCGATTCCGATTAGAGAAATGTAAATTCTTCAAAGGAAAATTTCATCGCATATTAGCTTTTGTAAAAATTTCCCTTTTGCGGAAGCAAACCGCATTGTCGCTTAGTAAATTGTTAAAAGCCCTAGCAAACATCTCTATGAATAAGTATCTGGTTTACTTAATGAACTTAAGTGGTAGTTATGAAATAAACTTTGGAACACAAGCACACACACAGCACAAGCATCACTTACATTCAGCTAAATCCTGAAGCTGTTGGAATTCTTGGGGAGAGAGTTTCTCCCACTGCAGTGATGACATTGCCTCAATCCTCTGCAGACGTACAGAGGACTGAGCTGAGCAAGTTGCAAGGAGTCAAGATGGATTAGACATCTGAAAATCGATGAAAACTTATTTTTATTTCATTTTTAATTGGATCGTCATCATGCACAAAAATAATCAACTCAAACATTTCAAAAAAATCATTTGAGATCCTCTTCATGTTTCAGTGCCAATATTCTATTATAATTAAACAAAATGATTGAGTATCTATCTCATCAATTTAACATAGATTCTAGGACGCTGGAGAGCAAACAGCACTCCACACTTCCATCGGTTGCTGATAAGAGCCAATCGAGGTTTGATTACATTTCATCCGCGTTCTGCTTGGGCAAATATCATAAATTAGGGAGTACTCCAATCAAATTACATTTTTATTTATTTTTGCCATTATCGTATTGTTGGGCTTAATATTTGCTGGATTGTACTCTCGCGCATTAGACGCATTAGCGATCTTGACTGCTACCAACATGTTGGTCTAATAAAAAAAACTCAATAAAAAATGGTCTAGATAAGACCTTATCAATCGCAGAATAATAATTCATTATTGATGCAATAATAACTGCCTATTTAAACGAATAAAACGAATTAAATTAAAAATGCTGTAAATGTTTGAAAAATTTTCAATTGCTTTGGTTCAAGTTAGGTTTTTTCACTTACGGAGATGCACTAGAAATAATTGATTTTGGAAAGCATTCTATGGAAAAGTTTTAATGGCCAAGCTCCATTTTTTTACATATTAGAATTTGAACCTACCGGTTTGAGAAAGTTGCAAAGCATTGCACCATAAAGCATTGAAAAACAGCTTTTTGTATTGTGATTTTAGGTGCCACTTAACCACTGTCCAATCAGACCATAAAAATATAGTTAATATTTACTTTTCACCTAAGAAGAGAAAATATGTAAAGCATATTATAATTTGATCGACTTGGAAACAAACAGGTTTTATCACCTCTGTCTGGTGACATTATTAAACTTATTATAAACAAATAACATTTTCAATATGTTAGCTTACTTCATTCGTTTGCAAATAAATATGGTTTTTCCAATCACGCTAATTTATTATGTAAATTTATATAGTTGCAACAGAATATATTTTTTTACATATAGCCTATCTCTATAGAATCTCAGTAAGGTTAATATTTTAAGGCTGCTGATTAATCTCAGAACGGTATCTAACAAATTTTGTACCATAAGATTCATACAGAAAGGATTTTTGCAAAATAGTTGAATTTTTATATGCAAATTTATATCTCTTTCTGAATTATATTATTCATATGTAATGCGGATGGAATGTGCTATTAATGATTGTTCCATTTCTTCAGTTTTCGATTTAAATAATGGCAAATATTTATTGTTTTCTCCCATCTAACTAGTTTCCTCTTCTTCTTCTTCTTCTTCTACATTCTTTATATTTTTGAATATATGAAAGTAATTTTCAACTACAGCTTATGTTAGGATGCGGAAGATTGGGTAAACTTTGATCTAATTTATGATCGTCCATTCTACTCTACACATTTGAGACCTGTCCGGTGGTAGCGCATCAACTGCTAATTAACTTTTATAAACAGTTTATAATTGGTGATTCATCAATCGTAAAGGGTGCTTAATCCAATTTAGGAAATCTAATTCTGGAAATACTTAATCCAATTTGGGACCATATTATATAAGATAAATATAGTATCAACGACAACATATTTATATATATTTATATATACATATATATAAATATATACATATATATACATATATATACATATTTATGTATACCTTGTGTTGTGTAATATGAGACATTTATGAGACAAAATTTCATTTAGTGAAAGAGTTTATTCGGGCATTTTTCAGTACAGTAAAAGAACGATGTTCTAAATATTCCATAGAAGATAAGCTATTTTGAGGCTTGCGATGATTTGGCAATGAATTAGCGTAGATCCTCTCAGATTCTATGATAATTCTATTTAAAAACAGTGGTGTTGAAGATGATAAGTTTGCATTGCGGTGCAGTCTTACAATAGATTAATAAGCACTGATTTTAAGACACTTGAATCCACCCAAAATTACAAAACTTCTCCAAGTTTTAATAGTAGAGCTGGAGAGCGGTTTACGGTCAAAATGTAGTACTAAGATAGGTTTAGTCACATCATATATCAGTAAAAAACTTTGATTAATTTTGAGTCCGACTCTGTAGTTACTTAAAGTGACTATTTATTAAGAATTGAAAATGGAAAAAACATATTCATTAATAACTCGTTTTCACATTTGTGTTGAATAGCTCAAGATGAAAGGTATATTTTTGTTAATTACGATTTTGGCACTTTTTGCTGTGGCTTATTCAGCTCTAGCTCGGTATCCGGTTCGAAAAGGTAAGCAAATCATATATTTCTCCGCAATAAATGTAACAAGTTAAATGTATCTATCATAATTATTTAATAATCATATTTATTTAAGTTTGTTCATGTAATAGACTTAAGAATTAAATAATAATACTTCAGGACCATCCAGAAAAATGATGAACAAACGCTTGAAGTAAATTTTTCTTGAAATATCATCCATTATACGGCCTGTTGGTTTGTTTAATAAATTGAAAATATTCCAGAAATGCTCTCGCAAAATATCTTTAAAAATTTAAAAATGTTATACATTCAGTGGTTTAAATAAAATAGAATTATGTATCACAAAAGTGTTTTCAAATTCCTGCTTCAATAAAACAGTTGTAATGGGGTTTCCCTACTGAAATATATTTATACAGAGTGTTCCGTAAATATGTTAAAATATTTTATCAGCATGTTCTTCCAGTCATTTTGAAGGGGGGTCTTCCTGATAGTCTTTTTAATTTGAGGTATCGTTGTTGAGATATTTGATTTCCAAAATGGCGGAAAATATAAGTTTTTCTTGTTTTTCTTTAAAACGTTTAAACATACATAAATTTTGATATACATTATAATCTAATTGTGTGCCATCTTATGATAGTTTTTTGAGGTTCAGTTTGCTTTTATACAGGGTAGAAATGTGGAACTCCTACTTTTGCTTTGTTCAGAACTTTTTTGTGTGTACTTAAACTTTTCTCGAAATAATTTTGTTAATTACTACAAGTTATTTACCAACTTTTTTATCTCTTATTGTTTTTTCCTCAGACCACTAGTTTGCCCGCAAAAAATAAAATAATTTTCTTTGCCGTTCTCAAAATGTGTAGTGAATAAGTTAATTTTTTTTAATCTAATAACGTTTTCATATAATAATTTTGGCACGTATTATTGGTTGATTACTAACAACCTAAATTATTTTTCTAACTTTTGTATTTTGGTTCAGATTACAATTATTAAGTTTGAATACATTTTACTTAAATAATAACATGGTAACAATATGCGCAACGATACAAACAAACAAAATTAAATTTAAATAACCACTCAAATGTTAACTTAGCAGCTGTTCAAATTGGTCACCTTGACATTCTTGGCATAATCGCAGTCTTGCAATGAAATTAAAATTTACAGACCGTAAAATTTGCACTGAAGTTCTTATTTCGTTAGAAATATTAAATATTATTTCCTGAAGTTCTTCCATTGTATTCACTTCTGTTGAATACACCGTATTTTTTAAATAGCTCCAAAAGTAAAAATCAAGCGAGTTTAGATCGGGAGATCTAGGAGGCCAGGATTATAGGATCTTCTTGACCTCTCCCAATCCAACGGCTTGAAAAGGTTTGATCAATCATTTATTTTTTGCGAGAAAATTTTGGTCTTAGGGAAAAACAATAAGAGATAAAAAAGTTGATAAATAACTTGTAGTAATTAAAAATATTATGTTGATAAAAGTTTAGATGCACACAAAAAGTTCGGAACAAAACAAGTAGGGGTTCCACACTTCTATCCTGTATAAAATTAAACTGAACTACAAAACACTACGATAGGCACTCAATTTCTATGTTTAACCGTTTTGACGAAAAACAACAAAAACTAATATTTTTCGCCATTTTGGAGATCAAATATCTCAAAAAGAGACCTCAAATTTAAAAAATTCTCACGAAGACCCCCTCTAAAATGACTAAGAGAACACGCTGTTAAAATATTTTAACATATTTACGGAACACCCTGTATAACTAGACTTAGTCCTACACGGGTCACTAATTGATAATTAATGAGACATCACCATTAAGCAAAAGAACAAGAACCAGCGGATTTTTAATTTGTTTTAAATTATTCAGGATGACTTTTACTTTATACTTTATTGTTGGTCACATTTTTTCTACGTTTTCTACTGTAGTTTTTTCCTGACTATTTTTTTCTCCTAAACGAAATGGTAAGCCCACATTTCTTTTAGCTTTGAAATCAAATCGTTCAAAAACATCATTTGATGTTATTTAGTATTATTATTGAAAAAATACATATAATAAAGTGTACAAAATATATGATATGAGAATTTAACTCAAAGTTCAAGAAAAATTTAACAGGAAAGCATTTGGAAATATCACTAGAATACTAGAACATAAATCGGATTTAATAACAACACTTTAATTATCAAAAGGCTTAATCTCAACATATAAAAAACCAGCCTGTTCAGATCAGTCTTACAATTGCTTTCAGTTGATTATATTGTACTACAGAAAGTCATGCAAACGTGCATATTTATAATCGCTTTTGCTGCATTTTTCTCAGGTACTTTGTCATTTATTCACAGAATCAATGCACCTCCAGGTAAGCATTCAATCGGCAATTTTAACTTTTTATCAGAAAATTTGTTGACTTTTCATTGCTTTATTTTCATGACTGATCTAATATGAATGTTTCGTCAGATCTGTAATAGTGGATTTTAAATACACATTAAAATAATTTTGTGGTACTACTTAACGTATTATTTTCTATATTTATAACAATTATAACATGATTAGCTTACTTATGAGTCGTACGTTGCACTCGACGTTTTTGATATTTAGCTTTATAGCTAGTAAAATATTAATAATTAAATAGTAAGCAGGCAGTTAAGATTAAATATCACAAACAATGCATTGCAATTTCAAAATAAAAGATATACTAATATATTTGAGCTTGTCCGTGAATTTGCAACGCTTCAAAATGCTCTGTACATTAACAAAACAATTCAATTTCAAATTGCCAAACTGTAGAACAGTGGATTTATTGTCCATATTGAAATATAATAGACTAATATTTATGCGAGATATTTGCAGGTTATTGCCGAACCGGTGCAGTTGTTCGCAATTGTTTTCCTATATTATTCTATCATTGTAAACAATTCTTCTAACTGGAGCTCTACTCAAATATATTCTATTAAAATTCTGAGTTATTTTTTTCAGATAAGCCAGGGCATTGCTGGTCAGAGCTGACCGGCCCAATGAAAAACGGAGAAGAGCGCCAGATTCCGAAACAATGTGTACAAGCGAGTTGCGGTGAGAGCAGGGATGTGGTAATCGCATCGTAAGTAGATAAAATTATTTCAATTCATTATTAATATATGACCAGAAAATGTTGCAAATATCGTATGCAGGCAACACTAAGTTTGCACCAAAGACGATGTTAAATTCCCTCAGGGAATTACTAAGATATGTTCTTTTGTTTACCGCATTAATTTAGAGGTAAAGATCTAGCTTTAATCGATAAATGAACCGTTACTGAATTACACAATTTTTATTTTTAAATTGAAAGAGAAAACCCAAACTATTTCCTACATTTATGAAATTTGTCAGAGCTTAACTAGCATCTATCAAATGAAAAAGACACGTAATATTTTCAGTCTTTCTATTTTTCTGCTTATATTCCTGTCAATACCTGCCAAAGATTTACAGTGATATATTTTATGAAAATATTATTGAAATTACTAATTCGCTATTGGTATAACTGTTCGGGAGAATTTGTTAAATCGATTCTTTGCTTGATTTAATGTCCAGATCGGATGAGTGAAGTTTGTGCCTTTTTAGGAAATCAGTGATTATATATGTACATCTTTGAAGTTTTGAGCATCCTCGCTTGTTCTCATATATTTTGAAAATTTTACAGTTTTAGTATGTATGCCAAAAAGTTCATAATAAGTCTACTGGAAATTTAAAAAACCTTTTCAGATGTGGGGTTGCTAAAGGACCTAATGGTGCATCTGAGACTGACTACTCTAAACCGTATCCAGAGTGTTGTCCTCAACCAATATAACATCGCACATCGTTAAATAACACCTAAAATAATACGAAGTATGACGATAAAAGGGTTTATAGATATGCTACGATATGAAACATTGTGGTTTTAATTACTTGATTAGTTTAGTAATAATATGTGGCTTTTATTGTCAATAGCTTGATTTTTTTACTTTTGCCAAACGTGTCATCAAAATACCCATAATTCAATCAATAATCAGTAAAATACAGATCATTTTGAAGATACTTTTTACCACCGATTGACCAAAATACGAAAAGTTGCAAAATAGCAATTTTTTTAGTAAATCTCTATAAAGCAAATAAAACACATCGTTGATTCATCTAAGTAGTATTAAAACAGGGTGCTCTCGAAGGATGTGTACAAACTCTTTCTTTAGATTCCTGAGTTTGTAATCCGTTGATTCAACCCAACTTCCTTTAGTCCAAAAGTTAACGGTTTTCGAAATGAAGAAAGTCGAGTTTTTTATTATCACTGAGTTATTATTTCTTAAGCAACGGCAGCATTTTCACAAAATCTCCTATTGAGAGGTTTTTACAGGTAACAAATTGTGCACTAAAACAGCAAGCATACATTTGTTAATTTATTCCTAAGAATTATTTAAAAATGAAAAATGCTGGAGCATTGTTTTATTAGTTGCATTAACTGCGTTACTCGCAATATCTCAAGAATGGTGACCCTTGAGTTCAGCAAAAAAAAAACAAGGTTTCCTTAGTGTTCCCTTCAATGTTTGTTCGATCGGATTGGTGCAAAGATCGCCTGAGAACTCTCATCTATCTAGTCGCGTAGTGTGGGAAATTCTCATTTCTGGCCCAACCAGAAACTACTATTTCCCACAACTGCAGGAAACATATACGTTTGTCCGTCGTCACGTATTGTCAGGGACCAATTCCTTATAAAATATGCAAAGATGCTTCTAAAGGGGACCCTTGTCTTTACACTTTTTTGCGTGAAGTTCTGGGTTCGAGCTGAGCCTCTCACTCCTCTTTGGAAGAATGCAGCAGATGGAGTGTCTATGTAGTCCACCCGTGAATATTCCGAATTCTCGTGTATCTGACTACAGATCACAGAAACCTATTTTGGATCAAATGATCGCAATTTAGTACTGTCAGGTATGAGCACCAAACGGGAGCTCCGGGTGCAAGTATGAGCCTTATTATTGAAGTGTAGAGCAGAAGTCGGCTTTGAGGTGATAGAAATGAGCTCGGAACCAAAACATGATATGCATATAAAGAAAATGCTGATGCGACACTCGTGCCAGAACTTACCTCATCTGAGATTGTCGATAGCTGTAAACTGGGACCAAAAGGCTACGGGCTTGAACGAGGGATTTTACACCTGGTAGTCGGTTGAACAAAGTCCCCAGATGAATTTTCCCGATCGCGACTAAAGACTGCACCTTTGCCCTAATCTGGAGGACGGACACTCTTTTGATAGAAATGCCAAAGAAGCGGACAAGAGATACACAAACGTTTTGTCCCCTCTGCGTGATAAACTCGTGCTCTCGAAATATTGCCTAAGAGGCTCAGATGATGCGAAATTCGGAAGATTGCAGCCTGCGCAAGAAACAGTATCGTCTGCATAACGTCCCATTTTTATGGCAACCTCTCTTGTCATAACTTTTCGCCCATTTTGTGCGGGTACTAAAACTTACCCCCAATTTCAAAGTTTGCTTCCATATTTGGTTCCTGTTCGCGGAAATTTTGCATAATAAATAATAAACATAATAATAGTCAGCAAAAATAATAATCAGGAAATAATACATTTCCTGATTCAGTTAGCAATTAATTTACTTAGAAGTCGAGCGATTTGATATCGTCATTGAGGAATTGCTCTGAGGCCAAAAATGACTCAGCTTTTGTACATTTGGGACGTAGATATGGAACTGTCGACTGTCCACCCCCAGCAACCATTTTCAGCCTCTCAGTCTAAGATGCATGATCAGTAGACTATAGGGCTGGGGTTGGGGTTGCCAGTATGATTGCAACCACGAGAGCTTCTTCATGTTTAAGCGCATTTCACGACAATCTCACCTCCAGAATAGTCACAGTTGGGGGACAACCAGTTTATTCCTCGGTTTATTCTTAAATCAGTTTATTTCCCATTGCCTTGAGAAAAATAATGATTAATACAGTCCACTCTATCGAAAAGATGTGTGCTAACATATCATCTGAACACACGCGTAATCGATTTTTGGACGCTGTGGGAGCTTCCGGGGTTGTAATCAGAGCGTTCCACAAAATTGTCTTCCGTGGGAGGAGAAAGTTATCTCCGGGCTAATCCGATTTGACTTTTTCCGATGTTAAACCAATCGCCAAAGCTTTGGTTATTTTTTCTTCTTAAGTCCTCGAACATTTTTTGAACACAAGAACTTCTACTTATTTATGAATAAAACCACATTCTCATGCCAGTTCTGTGTATAATTAATATTGCAACTAAGTTAAGCATCAAAGTTTTCTTCAGTAAAACCATGCACATTCATTGCGAAAGAATTGTGTGCGTATCGATTGGGAATTATGCAAATTTCTTCCGTGAGTCACACACAACTGCAGTGACGCAGAGCAATTACAATCCAAACAGCGTTTACACAAATTAAAATGTTGTTTGAAATTCAAGAAGAAGCACAGCAGTAATATGGTTGTCAACAGAGTCATAATTAAATTTAAAATAATGGAAAATGCAAATTAAGTCTGTTTGCTAAACAATTTCTCTCAAAAGCGTGACCTTTGGACGTGAAACATTGAAAAGAACAACTGAAATATCCGAATAGCGTAGTTGTAGGAATAGCGATAATATTTTTCCGGGCTTTATGCCTTCCTGAACTTTGCTGAATAACAATGTTTGTGTTTCTATTAGCTTTCGATTCTAATCAAATATGCATGTGCTATTTAAATACAGAGTGTTTCCTCATAAGTTGACACCCCTAGATTGTTTTATCCGTTTTCTTCATATTACCATTTAAAAATTACAAATAGCATGAAGTACAACTAGCCTTGAAATGGAGACAAATAAAAATTACTCCAGAGAAAAGAATCCAAAGGGGTTAAGTCGGGGCTATTAGAGGGCCATGGGATAAGACCAGCTCGTCCTTCCAGCTATAACAATTTTCATTTAAAAAAAAGTGCTCCCGGGCGAACGTTGCGGGGTAGATAACATATCTAATTCTTCATCTTCAATAAAAAAGTTCAGTTTTGGCTTTTAATGGTTTGTCATTCCTTAAATCTTTTTTCTTTACTCTTCTGATGTGTTTCGAGATGGAACACTTTTGGAATGGAATCTTTATTCGCGGCAGAAGCAGAATTTCTTTGTTCTAGAAGAATAAACGCAGAATATCGCATTATTCACGGTCAGAAGAAAACATATTTGCTTATATTGTCGAGTGTTTCACACTGAAATTCGTGGCGGCGATTTCAGCACTACTTTGATTTGTTGCTATTTATAATTTTTAAAACGCAATGTAAATAGAACGGTTAAAAGAAATATATAGAATATCCAGGCACCAAATGTCTGGCCCGTTTACTATTGATGGTCAGTTTTTCAAAAAAAATGTGTTTTTTGAAATATCGGGAGAATTATACGATGCATTTTAATAAAACTCGATGCGAATTTGTTCCCATGCAGGACTCTGCATGTTTTGATGAAGCAACCGAGTTTATCCGCTTTGGGCAAGTGAGAAATTCTTTATTGTTTTGGTTCAAAAACTTCCAGAACTTTCATTTGGTAGAAAGGAATCAATTAAACGTTTTTGAGCTGACTAGTGATCCTTTTTGAAAATTTTTGGGACATTTGTAAAATCTTGCATCAGCATTTATAGCCTTTGGGCTAAAAAATTATTTCTCTATGTATTTTTAAAATCAGGAAACAATCATGTCGATCTATCTACATATAAATATAGAAGGTGTTCCATTAAAAAAAGTTCTGGTTTAAAAATATTTAGTAATAAAGAACAACTTTAGCATTTTCCACTTTTCCAAATTCTGCAAAAACTCAAAAGGCGTTTCTTTAAGAAGAAAAGTTTACGGAAACGATTTCCTCCAAATATACAGTGTGTTAGATAATCAAGTTTAATAATGCAAATAGTATGCAGTTGTCTGATCCACTGGCAGCAGCCGGCAAAAAATCAAATAAAAGTTCCACCAAAACTTGTAAGACAACCAAGTGAAGCCCCTGCAAGCAAAGCCACCCATTGCTTTTCCCACAAATATATTCAATGCTTGCATGCAATTGTTTTAAACACCCCCAATCGGTCAAAGCCTGTTTTCCCTTTGCCAGCATGCACCGACCCTCAATTTCCTATTCACAGTTAATTCATCCCTGCAGACATAATTAATGGTTTAACATGCTCACGTCACTGTTTGCGGCAATTAATGGAAGACCAGACGATTATTTGGAGCCGATCGAATAGAAGAGAGAAAAGATCCCAAGGATATTTATTGGTGTATTTTGGAAATGGTTTTTACATGGAATTTCCACGCTAAAAATCAAAAGGAATTTCGCGGAAAAATTGTTCAAGTTTGTAATAAACAACATTATGTTGTTTAGCAGCAGCTTTCTGCATCAGTTGGGTAAAAAAAATTAAAATATGCAGAGAGAATCAGTAAAAATATTTTGTGCAAAGGAATATTTTTGAAGTCTTCGAACGTAAGTGAAAGGTGAGTCTTTGAGATTGGGTGATATTGAGAGGCGAAAATTCTAATTTGCGAGATATTTACACATTTACTTACTTACACTCTCAAGCATGTCAAATAAGTTCTCAATTGCTTGACTTTTTGTTAATGAAATCGACGGTTTTCGAAAAAACTATTTTATCATTGTCAAGCAAACTAAAATGGTCGCCAAATTTGTTAACAATTTAATTGAAATGAAAGCAGCTCTGTTTAGGACCAATTTTTGTTTTTGTGTTTATTACTTAAATTTAGTTGTGCTGTATTTATTTGAACATCCAGTTCTGGTAGGGTTTGACTGAACAATACGAGTTGGAGGTCAATTTAAAATGCTTATTTTTTATAATGTTAATTCTTTTTTTTGCGAAACTTTCTGTATTGAGGGCTTGAAAATATGCATTTTTCAGTACAAAATGCGGTTTATAAGCTTTGTATTCAATTTTAATAATTTGTTGATTTAAAAGAATAATGGAAAGCATTAATTTTCCATATCAACTGCCCGTAGGCTCAATGACTTTTCGTCAATCGGTTGAGACAAATGTGTTTTTGCATAGGTTTTTAAATTGAGGCGTTCATTAAAATGATGTGCACTAATAAATTTTCCACATCAACAGCCGCATAAATAACATCCAGTTTTCCGATCTAAAATATATTTAGTTGGTGAATAACAGATAATCTGTAGGTAGGCATTTGAAAAACATATGGATAATTTTCGGCGACGCAGCGCAATGAAAGGTTTGATCAAATTTTGAAATAAATCACCAAACATTTTTTTATGAAGTTTACTGGCTGATTTGCCACAAATTAATGTATTTGTTAATTATTCTTATCCATTAAATAAAGGAGTGTGTTGCAATAATGCATTTTTTGCTTGATTAATGCAAATTATTTAACGTTTATTGTGTTTATAAAATATAATAAACCTACTAAGCATCTACTTGCTGTTTATCACTGTCAATATATTTTACATAAGAAAAATATCTAACATAAACATTCAGGTCACACGGTTTACCAGCCATAAAAGCATAGTACTTAACTAGTTTAAATTACCGTGTGTTATCTTCAAATTATTGGCCCCCTTATACCATTCGCGAATTTAACAATCAACGTAACACCTACATTGTATTTAATTTTAAATTGAAAACTCAGCAAAATGTCGCCAATCAATGTTTTCCGATTTTTCTGTTACCGACAAAGTTCAGTATATTCCGCTAAAACACTGTCAGCAATCAGCTTCTTATTTTCGGTAAACTGAAATTTTCGTATTCAAAAAGCGCAGCGATCCGGAGATCAGCAGCCGATTCGCGGCGTCGTAACACGAGCGACACTGCGGAACCGGCAACGGCGCGTAGCTATCGCGCTTCAGGAGAAGCTGGCGTCGCTATGGAAACGGCCGGGCAGGAATCGTAGCGCCCCCTCTATAGTCCAGCGGGAAAATGAAAACAATTTGGTTCTCCTTGCACGAACAGCGCCATCTGAACAGTAATTCTCTGACAATTCCGATCTGTTTCAGCACGATTTGGTGAAAGTAACTTGCAGTTTCACTCAGAAATAAATGGCTATCAAGTCACTTTCTAGATCATAGATAGCGCACTCAGTATGCTGAGGAGAATTGGTCGATTTTGTGGTATTTTTAAATGCGAAATCAGTTATAGATTGTCCTAGCTTTTTGACTATATTTTAACGATTATCCTAGAAATTATGCTTACGGACACTAAAAGGTGGCGCGGCAAATTATTTTTTTCTCGAAAGGTTTTCCTGGGCAAATCCAACGATCACTAAAACGATTATTCAAGAAATTACGCATCCGGAGACTAAAATATAACGCGGCAAATCAAACAAATTCTGAAATATTGAAATTCATTGAAATATACTCCTTCAAGCAGCACTAAATGTAAATTTTGAAACTGCGCGCCATTCACGGGGCCACGAAAACGTTAGGGCTACCACTAGACTCGGGTCCCAAGGGATGATGTTCTGTGGAGCGCAATTGTCAAGTTTTGCACGGTGTTTGCGCTGAGGTTCACTTGCAAAATTCCCGATCGCATTAAATTTAGATGCTACAATTTGGACAAGAAGCAATTTATACTAGTGAATCCCAATCTCCTTTTCAATTTTCACTTTAATTAGTTGAACATCACAAACGCAGTTGTGTGTCTTTTAAATTGGCTTCTATTATTTGAATAAAATGAAAGTCTGACAATGCCGGAAAATATTCGTGAATCTATTTCAAGATCGGTAATTTCCGTGGCACCGGCTTAACAACGCAAGCGCCATATTGCAAAAACTACGAATCACCATTTTATTCCGGGTTTGCCCACCTGCCTGCATTTTGTGCCGTTAAAACCCAGAAAATCTCTGCATTTACGCATTAAAACTGCTGCGATAAACCTGGTTCCTTTAAAGGCTTTTTCATTTCAACGAATTAACAAGATGAGTGCTGAAAATAAGAGTTTAGGACCATCTACGGCTTTTGAGAAATGTTCGGTCGTTTTGGTGGATGTTCTCGGCACAACCACATCCATTAACTTTGCAAAGGTAAGGAAATTCTATTTTTACAGCCTTTTAACAAATCGAACCGGCTTAGCAACAGCTATTTTCGGCGATTTCCATTCAAATTATTTGTTTATCACGTAAAAGTACTGTTTATTTTCGCGCTTTGATTGCTTATCTGCAGCCGGGTACGAGGTCGGAGAAAAGATTCGCAATTGATGTTTTTGTTGCTAAGAGCTTGAAAATGGCTACCCATAATGAATTTTAATTTGGTTAAACGTTGTGTTGCATTCATTGATTGCAAAGTCCGGGGTGAACATGCAAACACGATCTTAACAAACCGGCTGGGGATCGTTGGGGGCAGGTAAAAACCTGGGGTGAGTTTGCTTACGAGAATCTTTTGTCTGTGTTCTCTCGGGGTCTTTCGCCCAAATTTTTGGCATAAAGCATCAATTCTCTATAGGCACAGTCTACCTGAATTCTTACCAGCATGTTTCCTCATTTATAGCATTTTGCACTTCTTCATGGCTCTTTGCCGCCATTTATCAACACCTGGATAACCCTTCAAGTACCAGCTGTTATTCGCTACAGACCTCAATAATTAATTCTATTTCCTCACTTTTGCTAAGGTGCATATAGCACACATAATCCTTTGTTTGCTAAAACCTGTTAACTTGCTGTATTCATTAAAAGTTCGCTTTTCTGACAAGGTTCTCAGAGTTTAAATAGACTTCAAAGGTCGTTAAACTATCATATGGTCAGATACTCCACAGGTTTGCGAGCCAGTGGACAGGAAACTTGTATTTTTAAACATCTCTAAGCAAAGCTAAGTAAAAATAGTTATTTTTCTCATTATATTTAATAATTGGGAATTTCCATAAACCGGGGATGAGATCATTCTCAGTTATAGATCGGACAAAATCATTAGTGTCGATTGAACAATCTTAGCAATAAATCTGCATCATAATCGGCTTAAAATCGTTTACATACGTACCCCCATTATCTATTTGTTACTTGCTCGCTAGAAACGGTCTTTATCTTATGTTAATTGAAGCGATATTTGCTTCGAATTTTCTATATTTTGTATAATTTTGTCATAACTTATAGATGGTACAAGTAGAACCTGAAGATTTAGTATCAAAGTAAATGACAGAAATCTGTAGCATTTATGTATAGAATGTGTTAATAAGTACCATTTGTATAAGTGGTTTGTTATATGTAAATGTTTTAATTACCAGCTTGTAAGAAGGTGAGCAGAAATAATGTTGGAGAGTTTGTAGAAACGAAAATACATTAAAAAGTTTATATTAATGGAAAAAAGGAACAACCTGATAGAGATCTACGTGAAGTGGATATTCACAAAATACATAATACTATCACCTTATCAAATTCATTCCTTGGTTTCAGTCATTTATTGCCTCATGAATAAAAAAAATGAAAATATGCATTTTTGAATGCATGCCAAGGCTTAAAGCAGCAACAAGGCTACACGTAAAAACTGATGGTGGAAAAATACACCGAAACGTATTTTGATTGATAAATAGAGACAATAAATGACTGAAACCCAGGAATTAATTTGATTTGGAATTGAAACACAGTCAGGAAAGTATACACTATCACCTTATACAGTTGTTAGCATCAAAATAAATTCTTGTAATGAATGAAACGTTTTGCAAATTAGAGACTGGGGCACAATATACTATTCTGAAAAATGGGACAAAAACACTTTTCCAAATTAATATTCACATTCAGTTTTCCAACACCAGACAACAAATAGTATGGGGAATATATATGCTTTAATTAAGTACTTTGCTTATTTGGGGAATGTGGCATTGGCATTGGTAATTTTTTATGAGTTGAGGTTTTATGTCTTCCAATATAAATAAAAATAAATAATAATCTTCTTTATTTCTTTCTAAAACGGCTATCGACCAAATCGGTCTTTCTGCGTAGTATAATTAAATCGACAAGTTACTTAAAACAGTACTAAATAATTTACTTTGTTCTTAATTATAGCAAAGGAAATATACTTGTGTTACATACATATTATAATGTATTATTTTTGCAACTGTTATTCATACTATACTATACACGGCGGCTAATTGTAAGACAAGGTCAAAAGAAGTGACTTTGCAGTAATTATTTATAACAATTTATCGGTATTGTATAAACGTTCCAAGTAAATTATATTTCCTTTTTCGCTTATCAAATTTTTGTCATTTTAACGAAAACATGGAATGTGTTTGTTATTCGATATTTCAACTATTTAATATATATAATAGATACCCAGGTTTATCGCAGTTTTGTGTTTAAACTCCGTAATAACCACAATGAAATATGCAACATATAACACATTTGCGTTGATAATCCAAATTGTTGGTTTTCCTAACCACTTGTGATTTTCTAATCTGTAACTATTAGAACCACAAAATTTTAAAGCAACTGAATTGTAGTTTAGCTGCTTCAATTTACTTAGTTATCGATATTTTTGTGGCTTCAATATAGTTTGCTTGTTTTGTCAAGAACTCGTTTTATTTATTTAACTTATTAAAACACTATTTTTTTCTTTCTCCTACAGAGGAGAATTTCCTTTACTCTTCAACTATTAAACCATATCGGGACATATACTTTGTTTTAATAACTTCTTTGTTTTAATAATATCATTCATAAAGTTTTTAATATTAAAAATACATTACTATTTTGGTTTTTTTTTTGTTCTTTGCTAGGAAACACTGTTTCCATATGTAGTTAAGAACGTGGAAGAAGTTCTTACAGCAAAATGGGACGATGAAGCCGTTAAATCTGCCGTAAAACAACTCAAAGAAGGTGATGACGACATTAGTCTTGAAGCTGCAGTTAAACTCGTCAAGGATCTTACCGAAAGTAACAGCGAAAATGTCGGTCTCAAAACCATTCAGGGAATTGTCTACGAAAAAGGATATGAAAGTGATGATCTCAAATCTCAGTAAGTTCTTAGTAGTTTTTTTTTGTAGTTAATTGTAGGTGATCATCAATTCATTTAAATTTAAATATGTTATTGGTTTTTTTTTGTAGTGTCTTCAGCGATGTTCCTGCAAGTTTTGAGTCTTGGGCAAAATCGCGCAAAGTTGCCGTTTACTCTACCGGTAGTGTCGAGTCACAGAAACAACTTTTCACTAAATCCATTGAAGGTGATCTTTCACAGTACATTTCGAATTACTTTGATTTGTCGGTAGGACCTAAATCTGAATCAGAAAGTTATAAGAAGATTGTTGAAAAGTTAGCTGTGAAACCTGAAGAAATTGTTTTTATAACAGATCTAATCGAAGGTAAATTGCAAGATTTTATGATGGCCAACTAGTAAAATAGATTAATTTTATTATATATTTTTTAGAGGCAAAAGCTGCGAAAAGTGCTGGCCTTTCCACAGCCTTAGTTGACCGCGAAGGAAACCCAAAACTTCCCGAAGAGTCGAAAGAGTTTACTGTGATTTCCAGTTTCAAGGAAATCACTTTCGAGAATCCCTCCAAAAGGAAAATTACTGACGAACCAGCTGTAACTGAGGTTTGTGCTAACGTTAAGTCCAGTAGAAAAAGAATCAGATCGTAAAGTAGTTATTGCATTTGTAGACTACTGTAGTGTCGGTTAGTAATTTTTCTGGATCTATACCGAGTTGATTTATATCGTTTTTCCCTACTTTTTTAAAGAAATTCAGCTATCCAACTTTCCACTTTGCATGTGTAGGCTATTTTAAGTGTTTTGTCAGGTGTAGTTCTAATTTTATGTTGCAATTTATGAATATAAATTAATAGGGGTGGGTATAATAACTAGTTTTATAGTTCTGTATGTATATATACTTGGTCCGTTTATAAGTAGTCATTTTGATTCTTGTTGCATTAAACCAATTATTGGTTACTGGTGTAGAGGAAGGATAGTAGATTCCCGTTAATAGTTTTTTTTGATAATACATTTCAACTGCGTGCAACAAAAGCATTTCTGGTTGATTTTTTCCGATCCACCCATAAAATGCAGTGTTTTCTAGTTTGTTCATACTTGCAAAATTGGATATGGTAGTACAAACTATTTTTTAAGTGTTATAGTTGGTTGACTTTTAATAAAATGATAATTCAAACTATGTTGTATTTATTCATTCCCTATTATAAATGTAATTGCATTTGTAATGCATGCCGTAGTTTTTAGCATTTTTTGTTTTCTGATTTTTACAGTTAGATTTCGGTGCTGGTAGGTAGGCTTTGTGCATGAAGGTGAAAAACTGCTTTTCCCAAATTTACGTTATGCTTCTGATAATCTACAGGAACCTCCATCCAAATTAGCAAAGACAGCATGCGAGAAAGATGTCAAGTCTGAAGATAAACACGAAGAATCTAAAACAGCAGCTGTTCCTGGAGAGCTGGAAAGTAAAGACACTGTAGAGGACGAAGCCATGGAAGTAGATGCTCCTAAAACTGTTGTCAATAAAGGTTAGTTGCTTTAAGGTATTTTATTGTTAGTGCGATTTTACAAATTCAACTGGTTTTTTAGAAGTGACTGTGGAATCACAAGAACAGGCGAAGCCAGAGACCAATGAAAAGACTGAAGCAACCCTTGAAAAGACTGAATCATCCGTAGAAGATATCGTGATGGCCGAATCCGAAAACATAATTAAACTAGATGAAACTAAAACAGAAAAGACTGAAGAAAAGAAAGATTTAAGCGCTAAAATCGAAGAAAATGAGAAAAAAAAAGATGATAAATTAGAAATAAAATCCGACACTAAAGATAATACGGAAAAAGCTAAGTCTGAACTAGAAGTGCTTAAGAAAAACTCTGAAGAAACTGAACCCGAAACCCTTAGTAGAGAAGAAACAATAGGTGGGTGCAAGAATTGAAATGAGTTTTCTCCATCAAAAAGGCAATTTTAATTTATTGCATGGTTGAATTAGTATCAATATTTACTTGAGTTAATGAAGAATTATCATTTTCAGTAAAAAGTGATGATACGGGCGAGAACGACGAAGCTGGCAAAAGCGAAACGAGTGATGTAGATAAGGTTAAGGAAAGTAAAGATGAAGTTAAGGAAAGTAAAGTTGAAGTTACGGAAAAGCATCAATCTAATGAAGAGCTTAAATCTGTCACCGAGAAAGCGGATGAAAGTGATAAGAATGTCAATGTAACAGACAAAACAGAAGTAGAGACCGAAAAGAAATCGGAAGAGATTCCTGAAAAGAAAGAGGTTGATGCAAGTGAGACGAAAAGTGCAGAACATGTGACAGAAGCGCCTAAGGTAGGAATAATCTACAAAAACTGCTATGTACGTAAATCAATTACCTCCATTATTTTTACTGCAGGCAGCGAAAGAATCTAAAGATGTCACGTCAGACTGCGTGAAAACGAACGAAACTGAAACTGTAAAAGAAGTAGTTGAACCACCAAATAAAATTGCCGAAGCTGAAATTGAAGCCACTTCGTCTGAATCAATCAGTTGCGAATCAAAATCGGCGATAGAAGAACCCAGTCCTGCTAAGTCAGAAGAAGAAAAAGAAAACCAAAAAGATTTAGCGAATAAGCTGGAAAATGGAGATTCTTTGGAAGCCAAAAAGACGTCTAATGGTGAAGTTTCTGTAAGTATACTTTACAGCTAATTTATGGCTCGTATACTTTGCATATCGCAGTCACACGAGAGAAAACTTATTGTCAGAACTTATACACAAGATTTTATTTATTTAATAAATTGACATCGTATATATGTTTGTTATAGCAGGAAGAAGCAAAAACTAATGGTGATTCTCAGCAGCCCATCGACCAAGGAACGACCAACGGCAAAACCGAGTCCACGGTTTCTGAGGTAGTAGAGGAAATTAAAGTGAAGAAAGTGGAAGGTAGCACTTCAAGTGACACTCCGACCGTGTCCGTCGAGGTGTAAGGGTATAAAACTATGATTAAATATTTGTTAATAATTTATAGATTTAAGAGCGGTACGCAAAAATTGTGGGACTGTTTTATTGACAACGCATCTCTTGACCTCAACCCAATTATTATCCGTAAAGCATTATTTGAAGATGGTTTTTAACATACTATGTGTATATGTACTATACTTGAACATAAGTTGCTTAATACAATAAAACCAAATCCACTATTTTTGCGCTGCTGTTCTCATTTCTTTCGTACCACAGTAATGTTTACTTCGCTTATTTAGTCCTTGTATTTTATATTTTTTTATTGCCAAACTCAACATTTTAATACTCATTGAATTTCATATTTTGTTGTTTGATGTTTTTCTTCAGTCTGATTTGTTTTGTGAATGTAGGCATAAGAGCATTGATTAAGTTACAATTTCCATAACAGATAACTAGGAACTGTTTGTTTGTATCAGGCTAACCGTCGACTATTTAGCTTGCCATTATCATTGATCGACTTTAACCGGTGACTGATTATTTTGGGCATTTACATTAAAAACTCTTGCTAGTCATTTGTATCGTAACTCTCGAGTGTGTGCCCTATAGGAGAGAGCAAAATTGATTTTTTTTCATATCGAACCAAGTGTTCCACCGTGTTGATGTTTTTGTGTTCTTAAATGATCGCCAATATACGCGTGTAGGGATCACTGATTATAACGTGCCAAGAAATTGATTAAAGACTGTTTATTGCTATTTGGAGACCGCAAAGTTTGTGTTCTGCGAACAATCTAGTATTCAATAAGAATTTCTCATTTGTTGTCTTTGTGAAGTTTTGTATGTCGTGGTCTCGCGTACACGCGAATTTGAATCGACAAATGTTTTTTTAGCAATATAAATGCTTTGCCAAATGAAATATGTTTTCTGAAATACTTTTGAATTTTATTTAGTGTTCAGCTCGCCTGATGTTCTGCCATAGGTCATTCTGTGTTAAAAAATCTGGCAAAAAGAGGCGACTGAATTTTGCAGCATCAATTTTACTTTTTCGTATGCTGGCAAATTTCGTAAATTGTCTAGTTGTGTAAGCTTTCATTGATTTTTAGAATATAATTTGTTTCGATGTAGAACACCTTCCATTTATCGGTTGTTGTCTCTAGTCTCTCGCAAATTATATGCAAATTGTCTTGCACAAGACTTCATTTGAACATAATTATCCTTAATAATGTATGTTTGAATTTTAGCCAAAGTCTCGTATCCGTTAATATTAAAAATTACATTTCGTCGTTCCTGTGTGTGACACATACTTTTATTTTCCGCTGTCAGATGGTTTAAGTATTATTAGAAAGTAAACATTGTAACATTCCACACGTAATTAAAGCTGGGAAACATTTCTAAGTGAATGTTCCTTAACTTTCGCAACCTAAACAATGTGATAAGGTAATGCTTTGAGATGGTGTGTCAAGGTGAAGACAGGCTCTTCAGATATCATTTGCTATGTTTAGCTTCGTATTGAACCGAAGCGAATATTTCTTGCAAATCCATATACAAAATATTAAGCTAAACATATCGATAACACGTAATATTTAAAAGTCCTTTAATTTTGATATTTTTTTAAACTACTTAACGAAAAACTTAGTTATAACGGCCTAATGTTTTTTGAATGGCTGCTATTTAGTACATACTATCTTGTATACGTTTTGTCACACAACATATTACATTTTGTAGTGTACTGAATTTTTGTGTTATTTTTTTATATTTTATTGTGGGCCATCTATTTTACCCCATAGAGGCTGGGGTTTCCCTAAGCGGAGTTGCGCTTCACACTTCACAGCTTCACCTTCGTTGCGTGAACAAGGATTAGGTGCTACAAAAATTGTTTACCTTTTCCCGATTTTGAACTAAAAAGAATGAAATATGTGCTATATTACGTACAATTCGATGAAGCATTTAGTTCATATCCATATAATGCGCAATTAGTCAAGGATACATGGAATTGCAAAAACCCATGCATTTCTTGATCGGTCGCTAACGTACGAAATAAAATCATCACGTTGTTCATATGCGATTTTATTGCATTGCAAAGCGGTAATTACAAACTAAGAAGAATAAATAATACATTTTGCTATCATATACAGAGTGATACAGATGTGTAGCCTCAAACACTGACATAGAAGAAAATTGGTTTCGACAATACAGATTTGTTATAGAGCGGTTATAAAATACATGTACAAAGTACGGAAAAATATATACAAATTTGGACAATTTATGCAACAAATATGTACAGAACTTTATTAAATAATAATAAATACTTTTTAAGATCTAAACGTTAATTTACTGAGATTTAAATGCGCTCGTTTAAGTAACTGCTTCATAGTCAATACATGTCCATATTAGCATTGCTATTATTTTCTCAGATGTCAATGTTATGGACCAAATCCGTTTTGAAAATTAACTTATCAATCATTACACTGTAAAGAAACATCACAACCAACACAGAAGATGCTAAGTTGAAGGAATAGAAAATACAAATAGTAAGTACTTCTGTCAGCTACATACATATAAATGGCAAATGGTGGTATTGTTCAAAACAGACTAGTTTTATGCTAATTGCAATATATTCGTGTAACCCTGAACGCGAGGAAACGTTTGATTATTGGAATGTTTGTAATATTTTACAAGTTGGCAAATCACATCAATACCATCGGATCACATGAAGCTAATCTATTTTAATCAATACACCACTGTAGTGTTTAAGTGTGTGTAAACTCGGTCTATGTAATTCTAGATTCCTAAAAAAATGGCGGCGCACTCATCACTTCATCTATTTTCAACTCAAAGGTAGGTAATACTTTTCATATAACACAATAAAAACTAGGATTTTTTCAGTCTTTAATAATATACAAACATACGCGTCAAGATCCACTTATATATTTGTCCGAAAATGTTCAACACTTTTTCTTTAAATATTGTATATTAGAAATAAATAACTGACCAGGAAAAATATAACATTTACACGATTTTTTGCTTCGACTTTCCAATATTATACGGGCTTCTATGGGTAGCGTAGCCGACAATCAGAGGAACTTTCCGAATATTAAGAGCAATAATAATCACTTCAATGTGTTTCAGATGTGCACAAAATTGGCACTATTAAAACAAGACTAATTAATTCTAGTCAACTACTTTCTTTCTATTGGAAAACAGTATGAAATCAACATAATCTGGTTGTGGGCAAACATATCAAGTATAATTTTACACACATATATCATTAATGAATGAATGAGATTCATTGAATTTATTCGATCGTGCACCGTATAATTTTGGATTCACATAAATTGGTCACTATGCCCAAGGGCACATTTAAATGATTCCTACATAACATATAAAAGAACTGTACAAATATTTCATATTTAAACCGAACATATCTAAAATAAATGTGACTACTATTATACGACTCATTTACAATTTAATAGGGCCAGATAGTATTGAAAAGTTATCTATGCGAAACTGGCATCCAAAATTTAATTTTCAAACTCGGATAATATTCTCTAGTGCACATGCATTCTTTACTTTAGTTAGATATGTACATTAACTTTAGCACTGTTTAGTTCTAAAAGTAATGCAAGTAAAAAGGGTGTAAAGATCAGGATTCCATTATATGAATCACTATTTTCATAATTGGATAAATCACAATTCTATTACAATTGTTAAAATAGCATATTCTACTGTAAAATTCAAATGCCAATTTCCAGCATATAAATTAACATCAAATAAATAAACAATGTACATTAGATAATACATTTAAGAAAATGCCATCAAGGTAATTGGTGATTTTTCTGGCACCATTTCTCGTTTAAACTAACGCGCTGTTTATTCTTGCAGCATGATCCAACAAGTATTGTGATAATCTATTTGAGAAAAATGATTGATTGAATTAGACTGAATAAAACAGGACCGGTTGCAAACTAATAAAAAATCTGGTAATTATGTAAAGTGCAAAAATGAAATTATAAAATTGATTTAAGGCATCTTAAAAAAGCGCGATATTAAGGAATGTCTACTACATACAATAGATTTTTAATAAATATAAAATTTTGTGTAAAACAATTAAACAAGAATGAACCTCGATTAAAAAAAACCTTAGTTTAATTTGTAATCGAATATCACTTAGAAATTAATGACAGCTAGGGTACCTATACAATATAAGAATTCACAATACCTTAAGCTGAAAATTATAAAATCTTACTTATTCGCTTATTTTGACCAATTGCGATCGGCTATATAAGTCGAATATTGAGTTAAAATAAAATTAGTTTTTAAAAAGTCTGAACGTTTGCTTTGGAATTACCAGAACAGAATATTTTTGTTCTATTATCAACCCAAATCAAACTCAAGATTGAATATTTTGTAAGCTCGGCATAAATTTGTCATATTGAATTGCTGTGATTTAAACAATAGCACAATTTAGAAAAATGACAAATTTGCGCGTTTTGTGCTTTCATGATGTCATTCATTCTTACTATTAATAGTAATGTAATACACGCAACTAACTTACTATACGTAAGCCAATTACGCGTAGTACGTTATTACGCATAAAATCGTAATTAACTGACTATACGTCAAGTTATAAGTAAGTATATATCTCATAGTATATTATAATATTAATAAATATTAAATATATATTTATTATATTATTGATACTTAATATACGTAAGTTAATTACGTTTTTATTGTGTTACTTTTGCTTAAACAAACCAGTTTAGGTCCAAACCTATCCCATGCTGTCTGCAAATTTAACGTAATGAATTAAACAGTTTTATAAAGTACTTACTTATAAATAAAATAACATTATTCTTGTTGGATCATACTACAAAGTTCCGATGAATGAAGGACTAGATCCAAACACCTAAAGTTTCCAGGCCAAGTCCGACTTTTCGTTTTCGAACGATTTATTCCAAAAGTAAATGAAATAGAACAAACGAAATATTAGGTCGATTTCAACATTCGTTTCTACATTGTAAGTATCTACATAATATTATCGTGTCATAAGGGGTTTTTATTAACATTTAGGTCATCATATTTGTTTTAGGTCCTTCATGCAATGTCTCCAATACATACTGTTTTGTTGGATAATGTTTACAAACATACAAAAAGTTTACGGGGAACATCGCTTTTGTACCGTCGATACTGTATACAGAAAAGGCAATTTTCAAGAGGAGAAGTTTGTTTCAGGTAAGATTGCAAATTAATATGAACAATTTATTTGCTACAAGTAATTTTATATTGGTGCAAAATATAATTGAATGAAAGTAACTAGTCAAAAAGTGATTACGATTCATTAGACTAACTAATTCTAATTAGTTAAATTTGTCTTTTCCGTAGTACAGGCGAATTTTTCGGCAAAGCATTCATGGGCGCACATTCAAGTATAAATATATAGGATCATTTTCTTAGTGCCTATTTAGTGAACAATTATTTTGTTTATTATTGCGTAACACTTCTTCTTTAGGGGTCACGTTACACCATTATACAATAAATAATTATAATAGTTTTTCTCTTTATATGGACGATATACTTGATCAGCCCCTTGTCGCTTTATGAGAGGGTTGCGGATGAACTGAAAAATCACCCATCTTTTATATATACATACATTTTAGGCGGTCGGTATCCAGCTTGCAAGATCTTAATATCCAATTAGGGCTAATTTCAATACAATGGAATGTTCAATATTTTGCTGCTTGTTACTTTGAAGCACAAAAACTCAATTCCTGACTTTGCTATGGAATAACCAAAATCCGCAAGCTCGATAATGCCTGTCTCTGCAATACAACATTTTGGTTACAAAACACGGTGAGGGAATAGGATAAACAGTTTTTTTATTATCACGAATGAAAGGGACAATAACAACGATGGAAACCACGACTAAAACATTTACTAAACCATTGCAAAGTCCGTGTTCGACGTGCATCAGGAAATTGTCTTTTCGCACCAGTTGTTCTTCTACATATAAACTACTTATTATATCATCATCACATCAGAGTTGAAATGCGTCGGCAGAAAGAAGTCCAACAAAGCTTATTGAAAGTAAATTTCAAACAGCTCTCGGTCGTCCACAACTGCCCCAATAAACTCGAAATCACAAAAAAACACTTCATCGCATCGATTGAAGGGCGCGAAGAACCATAACGCATATCAGAATAGCGTTCGATAGCAACACTGAAGCATCCGAAGTGCCTCCTAGTGTTAGCTCTTCACTTTTTACCACTTCGTTCGGATGCTTATTGTAGGCCTTCGATTTCTTTGTCGTTGATACGGTACTTCTACTTGTGGTCATCGTTGTGGTAGATGGGGTTGGTCTAGGAGGTGTCATTGATGACCTAAAAGTAGTGAGCGAATTAGTTAAATTATTCTAAATATACAGAGTGAAAATTAAGGTGTAAAGCTTTAAAATCTGCCACTTCGCACAAGACGACAGTAGTTTATGTATGCCGGTAGATTAATTATCGAGATAATTCGGTCAAAGTTTAGGAGAATATTATCTAATATTGACGTTCTCAGGTAAGAAATAAAGTGAATATTTCAGAGGAATCGGAAAATCCCAAATTTATGAATTCGTTTATTTCTAAACTTATTGTAGATATTTTTATGAGAACTTAAAAATTAAAAAAAGATAGCAAACAACTCCCCCAAAAATACAGATCTGTAGATTTTTCGAACCATTTGTGTGGATTTTTTTCGGTGTAGTAAAGCTATAAAAATTATCAACAAGAAAAGCATTTTATCCATCGAAAACTCCTAAATTTCTGATGAGTCTTCAGTAGCTGTTTATTTTAATATTAGTAGAGTAATCGAGGATTTCAACAATTAAAAGTTGGAGTGAAAAAAACAGCTTTGTCATATTTTTAGCCTATTTAACTGCAACTTTCACCTTTCCCGACTAATGTTTAAAATGTAGTGCAGAATAATATATCGGAGAATATACCTCCCTTTGTGAAACTCCCTGTAAGCATTTTAGTCGAAAAATTAGTCCTTTGTGTAATTCAATTTTAGTTCGAAATATATCTTCATACAAATGAAGAAATGAAAAACAGTGCCATTAGTTAGAGAATTTCGAAAATCTAAATTTTATCTAATCGAACTTCGAATAAAGGGGAATTTGGCGACATTTATTACTAAAATGATGCAGTGTAAAGTAAAAATGCCCTTCAACTTAAAAATAAATAATAATCTCTCTCCTGTCTTGGAGATTCGGTCTGGGCAGTGGTGAGAAAAACACAACGTTTATACCTACCAAGCTTTCGGAATTTGAGGACATTTTTAATTAGTTGAAATTTTGTTGGTTTCTATCATCGCTCGGAAATTGAGCAACAGTTTCATTTTTAAGTGATTTCGTCGCGGTTTTTTGGTTACATCAATATTTTTAGAAAAACAAATTATTTCAATTATTAATTTTAGCTTTGGCATTGTACAAAAACAAATATAAATGGCTCTGAATTTAAAAGAAAGATTGGTACTTGGAGCGTTTTTCGTTGTTGGAACGTGAAATTTGCCTTTGAAAATATTGCCGTGCGAACAGGCACTTTCTACAAAAATGCCAACAGTAAACAAACTGAAATCGAACTGCCAAGTAAAGCATGAATCATGGAAAGGGCGAATAATTAAATCATTAAATAATCATGTTTATTCTATAGTTTGGCGTCTTTTTTTCTCGAAGTGTATGAATGTTCAGTTCGCTACCGGCAGTAGACGAAATCGGTCAATAATCGCATTCTTAGATGGGAAATGTAGAATCATTGTGGCCCTTATGGCAAGTGAGGTAGTTTGTGAAAGTGTAGTTAACTTCTTGACGTTTAATGGGCAGAAAATGGAGGATGGGCCAGCTTGCAAAACCCTGGTAAGAATGATCTCTAATCTATAAATCTTTTAGCTTGAACTGAGTTAGTTTTCCGACAAGCAACGTTTTTTGGCTTCTTTATATTTGCCTCTGTTTGATTTGCTGATTTCAAATAAGGTTGGCTTTGAAGGGATGTCCTGTTGTTATGAAACACATTTTCTTCTTTTGTTCCCAGTGGCACTACGCAGCTTTCGGTATGATTAGGGATTTGGGATTATTTTGGGAGGCTTTGTATTTTTGGCAAGCTCATCTCCAAAAAACCGTTTTACATAAGCGAAAATATGGATTCTAGTGTTATATATTTTTTTCTGTTGAAAATGTTGTAAAAGAGTTTGCAGTTGCGTAAACGCGTTCATTTTCAAATCAACATTTATGAAACGCGCAAAATTCAGGATTTCATGGGATTTTAATAATTTTTTGAAGGTACTTTACTGAAGGCACCACTTTGCGCTTGTAGAGTATTTTTCGTTTATGACAAATTTATTTTTGAAAAACGCGATTCACAAAGTGTTTCCGCAACAGACAAAGCTTTACGTGTCCCGGGGCTGGAATTTAAACACCTAACAAAAAAAAAGCAACATTTTTTAGGACCAAATTTACCAAATGACTCAAGTACCCCAGTGAGTTACTGAGCCGGTACATTGGGTTGACGCAGCAAGTCATTTAGGCAACACTGTGCCAACTCCTGAAAATTAACTGAGTCATGCCTACCTTTACGCAACTATGTTTAATCGAATTTGTATTGTTAATTTCATGCAAACTTGCAAATGCTCGTTGAGAACAGAAGAGACGCAATGCTAAAAAAGTGCGTATATTATGGTACTATTTATGTTTTGTATAGACAAAAAACTTGTTTTTCTGTGTGGATTTTATTAAGTTCTGAAAACAGCAAAAAATTCAAATAACTTACCATGTAGGTCGTGGCGGGGGCTGAGTAGGGGGTTGCGTTGGGGTTTGCGCAGGTGGCCCCCAAACTTTGAAAACTATTTTCATGTTATGAGTGGTACATCGTCCGCCTATCCGCCTATGAAGATCATCCGATGTGGATGTTGAAATGAAATAGTAGTCGTGCCCTGAAATAAAACGTAATCATGACAATCGGCGTTGCTGAATCAATTAACGCATAAAATGAGACAAATTACGAACCAAATGTTGCTAATTTTAAATAAATTGAAATCAGTCTGGAGGTAAATTGCAATTAGCATAATTTTACGCACTGTAGAATGTCAACAGTTCCGCAGTTTGTTCTGCTAATGCGAGAACAATTAAATTGTCACAGTTTTGAACAGGATATATTATATTACAAAGTCGAGGAAAAAGCGGTTTTTCTTGTCATAAAATGTAAGTAAATTGTTGCGGTATCGTTACGCCCCATTCAAAGTATCGCTCAAGATCGGTGCAGTGTGACCACAAGTGGAGAACATTTGAAAATAATATAGTAATATTAATAACTAAAACATAGTATAGTAATATTAATAATAAAATGAATTTAAATAAGAAGGTTTATCCTTGAAGAATCAAAAATTGGAATTTCAACGTTTCAATTATGACAAAAGCCAAAATGATAAATTCATATTTAGTTTTCGATTACTTTTTCTCGCCCGCGGGTTCTCCGTCTCGTCGAACTAATACCAACAACTGACGCCATTCATTTATTAATCGAAAAAAAAAGCAATAATTGTTTCTGATCGATAAAGAAACCTGATAATTTGTGTGGTTAAAAGGATTTCCACTAAATAGGCGTTAAATTTATAGCACTATATAATATGAAAAAGCCTTTTGTAGTTTATGGGGACGAGCTGGCATCAGCTTGATATAAATTCAATAGGACTTTTATAGCGCGACTATACTATAAATGTTGTATAGCAGTTTTATGTTGAAAATGCGACCCTTAAATGGATTTTATATAGTTTTAATGTAGTGTTAATACCATCTTGTTCCACTGGAATTTTTATTTAAATATATTTTTTTTTTATAAATAGGGTTTTTCAGTTAATTTGCACTTAAAATCTCATTCAAAATATTTTTTTATAATCAGCCTAATCAACAATTTTGTGCAAGCTACTAAATATTCAAATCATGAAATAGTCGTGATAATGAAGCGATTGAGTGAACTGAACAAAATTTGTATATAAAAAACAGACTTGAAAAAAGCAATAATTTGACTATGTGACCGTTTTTGTTTGCTTGCCATCGCGTTATTATACATATAAATCAACTACATCACGCATTCTGATGGTTACGTAGAAAGGCGAGCAAGTTGTTAAATTTTTATTTCTAGGACCAAAGCTGCTCGTTGAAATAGTAATCCGTAGGTAAAAATATTTGACAAGCTGTCCCAATTATGTTTTTCCTATCGAAAATCGTAAAAAAATATATTAAATTTAAATTAATATTGACACAAACAATTGAATCTGGCCACTGTTTTTGAATAAATGTTTTAGTTCTGTAGCTTTATAAACAACAGTATTATAATGTAAATACAATATGATTTCATTTGTATTACATTGCCGATATGGCAAGAATTGCAGTTTCGACGTTTTCCTATTCTTCACAAATATATATTTTTTTATTTTCCCTGCCGTATGGTGCATAAAAATTGCATCAGACCCCCATAAAATTGTATAGAATTGAATTGTTACGTATTGGAACTAGGATGTTTAGAATGACATGCATGAAGCTGAATATTAAAATTATACTAAATTTATTCAATTGAATCACAAAACTTAAACGTGGATGATTGTGTGTTTCAGATCGTCGTTGCACGGTTTTTACTTCCACAAAGTTCCCGGCTCACCGTATTACCCATTTGGTAAGGATTTTATGATGTAATTTACATAACACGGTACCGGCGCTTAAACACGATGCATTTGCAAATTAACAAATTGAGAAAAATGCTTTATAATGAAAAAACCTTTCGCCATTAATTAAGTGTTACCCGTTTCAAGTTTGCGATACTAACTTTCGAAGATTTGCATTTTTAAATATCTTACGAAAGATCATTTGCGAACTATTTAAACAGCTTTTCAGACGTTTTTTTCGACATTTCAGACATTATATCGGATCTAATTGTAAATATACTTGTAAGTTTTACCCAAGTGTGCTTTAGAAAGTTTTCAATAAAAATAAAAAAAGACGTTATAAATAATACTTAAACCAAATTATCTCTATATTCATTCATTGACTCCAATTGAACGGTTACCAATACTTTCTTGAAATACTCAAAGTAAATGAACAATCCCCCTGTCTTTATATAGCTCCAAAATGAAAGCAGGCGTAAAGTAACCGTGCAAATATTAATTACCTACAGAAGAACTACACAAAATTAAGCTCGATATTAAACTTGGATACATAAAGCCGATGTTATTACAGGCTTCCCTTTTACATCTTTTGAAATAAGCTTCGGAAATGTCTTGATGTCATTTTACGACCTCTCCAACATAATAAATTACCAAAAGCACTAAGCAATTTCCTTTCTTAGATTCGCAGCTTCATCAAAGAGAAGTTGAAAGGTTTAAAAATATCGATCCCTGTTATTTCAGGAGTTCATTTAAAATTGTGTTGACTCAACTACTAAGACAGTGCAGTATTACTTCTTTGAACATTTGTTTAATACGGAAAGCGACATTTGTTTCTATTGCTAACATTTAAAAACATTGAGTCAAAAATACTCGAAGACATGTGGAATTGATGAATGAATGTCTACTGAACACGAAACTGTTACTCAACTTATTTAGTTTCTCTCGTATTTTTTCACTGGAAGATATATAACTATCTTTGATCATTAACCAGAAGATCAATCATTAAAGTAAAACAGCCATAGCTAGAATTCATAGGTTTCAACTTTCGATGGCCATTAGGTCGATTTAGGATATTAGTAAACCTCTTAAGACGATTTGTAAATACATTTATACATCTTACATACGCTCCAAATCGTCTAGACAGTCCTAATGAACTTCTCAACTATATTTTTAAACGTAGCGGTGAATTAATGTGTCACTAGTCCTAACAAAACTATAGGTCATAAATATGTTTAAAAATAAACAGCAAATTTATGAAATGTGAAGAAATATGAACAGATTTTTAAGTTTACAGATCTATGTAGGACGCGTTTCGCGCTAGACTAATTGGTTTTTGTTTTCGACTTGAATTCCTGCAGTTTGTCTGCGTTTTTGTTTTTGTGGGTGAAACACGAATTAACAGGAATTTAGTGCATACGACTCAATTATATAATATTTATTTTTATATCGCAGCTGTTTTTTATATTTTAAAAGTGGTTATATAAATAGAAATCAGAGCTAAGAACAAAACATAAATCATTGGAGCAGATTAAATATAGTTTTTGAAAAAGGTTATTTTTGAAAAGGCCTTCTCAAGAAAAAACAGCAATAGCAACATGAATTATCATTAATGCTCGCTTCTCATCTTCTGATAAATAAATTAGAAGCTAACGCTAGTTTCTGTTCAATCGACAGGGATCTGGGAGCTCGTCTGGTTTTTTTGTTGGTCAGAAGTTTATCGCTAAACAGGCGTCAAATTTACAGCACTATTTAACATCCAATAGCCTTATTGTAATTTATGAAGAGCTAGCAGCACCATCATATAAATTATTAAAGACATTAATAGTATTAATGTTCAATAAATCTATACCGAGCAATTTAATGTTAAAATCTGTCAATTAAAGGCGTTCTGCCTCTTGTAAAATACCATTACAGTGCTTCTATTATTCAACCGGTAGTTTCTATTGATAAATAGCTCTTTTTAGTTTAACCAGTTACTCACTGAATACTTACACTGCATGGATTATAAATTACTGAAAACTTCCAAGGCCTTCAAGGGTTGCGAAAACAATTTAATTTCTGGTTGTCTATTAAGAAGATGCTAGAAATTATTCCCAAACAACATTAAATTTATGTTTCATTTGATAAGTTTAAAACATAATATGCAAAATTACTTGACTTAAATGGAGCTAAAGTTTCCTCTTCTTTCTAATAGACAGAATATAATGCGTAACTGAAAACGTGTGCTTAAAAGACGCAATTTAGTCAAATTGCAAAACAATCACAAGAAATTTAAAAAAAAATGTCTCGGAATAGGAATGGTTTTGTGCCAGTCTAGTTCAGGTTTGATTTTCATTCGTCTTTTAAGACGGTTCTCCGGTTAGCTTTGCCTGTTTTTTGCACATCACCCAATTTTTACTCAGCCTGTATACACATTTCCATATAAATTATTTATTAGCGATTTAACTAGATGTATTGCCAAGAAATTGAACATAGGTTGGCGAAAAAACGTGCTGACATAAAAAGAACGCAATAAAATTTTAATTATGATTATTTATGTTTTACAATTACTTTCAGAAGCAATTACCTTGTTACGACACGTCAGGATTACCGGCATTAAAAAGTTGACTTTTTATAATTTTGCAAGTAATTTATGTTATTAACTAAGTTGGGTTATATTGGATTCTATGTATATTCAAGATATCAAATCCTATAGCCATGATATTAAATTGTTGTTATTTACACAGTGCGATCAAACTAAGAGACTGGAGAAGGAATTGAAAAATTATTCGGAACAATTTTAAAGGCATTTTTTGATCAAAGACCATTTATTTTCACATAAGTTCCCTCAAAACTAAATCTCTAGAAAAATTTAGTTCCATGGACACTAAAACATACACTCTTATATGATGACTATCTATAAATTTTGGGCGAAAACTGATTTTTACCAAAGATTGTTCCCTTTCTTCGTGAAGACTTTGATAAATTCGAAACGCAAATCCAAAAGAAATCTATATAGGACAAAGTATAGAAGATCTAATAAAGGAACCCGTACACTTTATAAAATTTAATCATATCGACTATAAGGCGCAGCCTTTCTGGCTTTTGTTATATTGAAAATAGCACGTGAACGACCTTTACCTGTCCTTTGCATTTTCGGAAGACCCATTTTAATAAAACTTAATGATCGATACATTGATTGACAAAGAGCTTTTTATTTCTCCCTCAAAAGGAATGTGCGTAAGTTATTAATACTAACTTGTAAAAAAAATCATTATTTTTCGCTCTATTTT